CCTCCTGGGATTCCAGGCATATGTGCTACCACAATCTGTTCACGGCTTTACTTGTCTTAACTGAAGAATCTTGCTTCCTCACTGGCCTATGTGCAACCCCAGGCAAAAGCTGTCTAATTCAGTCCTGACTCCCCAGTGCTAAGCAGTACTGGGCACCATCCTTTTCTCCCCTCCACCTGCCTCCTGTTCAGGACAGCCCAGCCACTTTCTTTAGTTACAAATTCTAAAACTTCAAGCAGACATCACCAAATCCAAGTTCAGGACTCCAGGTCTGAGCATGTAATCATATTGGAAGGTATACTGATGGTGTCTGCAACACGAAAAAAATAAAAGACCCAGAGATAGATACTGGGGTTCAAGCTGAAGATAAGGGAAGCAAAGCGGCCAAGCTACCAGAGAGCTCTTACTCTAACAGGGCTGGGGTGTTCCTATTCTCAATGTGGTTGGAGAATGAATGCCTGATACTGAGACCTTGCTCCTGTCTTAAATACCTCCCTAATGCTGAGATTAAAGGCATGTGATCAATCCCAGGTGCTGAGATCATCTTTGTGTGAGCTGTTTCTCTTTAGGACGGGATCAATCTTGTGTAGAACTGGGTGGCCTTGGCCTCACAGAGATCTGTCTACCTTTTAATCCTGAGCCCTAGGATTAAAGGTGTGTACCACTGCCTCCTAGCTTCTGGCTGCTGGGATTAAAGGTGTGTGCCTGGCTTCTATGGCTTGTGGCTGACTTTGCTTTCTGAATCCTCAGGCAAGCTTTAATAAATCATAAATAATATATCACTATAGGTGTCTTTTCTATCCATTTTCCTAAACATATATCAGTGCATTGGAAAATGTTTTCCTACTCACTTCAAGGTTGTAGCCTAATGGCCAGACACCTGTGGCTGTGACCAGCTCAGCCCTTCTTGGAAGATCCCGATGACAAAATCATAAGAAAATGACAATAGTTAAGGAATAGGAAGCCCATTCTGAAGGGACAAGCAGAGCAAGAAATCCAATCCTGGAACAGGGGCCAAACAATGGTGGGAATGAAGGCGCAGGACAGGATGTAAATAGTATAAGCCTTGACAATGGAAAAACTCAAACTTGTAAAATTTAGGAGGGGAAGGAACTAGGAAGTGGTGGTGAGCTCACTTCCTTTCCGGAAGCCTTGGGTTTCAGGGAGATGCCCTCTACACTCCCAACCTGCCAAAGCACAAACCAAACTGCTTAATAGTTCTCTTTGGAAAAACTGTAGAAACAGAAGAGTCAGCGCCACTCTTTGTGGCTTGGTAACTTCCTCAGGTGGAGATTTCCTTTTGATCTGTTAAACTGAATCTTTTTGTTTTTTCCTAAAAAGCACACTATTACAGGATGCCATCTCTGTACCGTACCCACCAATCATTGTTTCTAGTTATCCTTGGTGCAGACTTCTCCACCTGTGCTGTCTGGGTGTCAGCCTGATTATTTCTGGGAGTTCTAGCTTCCAAACCACTTGAGAGCCTTGCCTTTGGTATCACTCCATGCTACTTTGCCTTTGTGATAAGGAATGTGCACCTACTTTTATAAAATAAAAGTTTTTTCTTCCTGGAAGTGGTGGGGATCAAATTCAGGGCCTCATAGCTTCTCCAGGCCAGTAAAGCCTTTTAAAACATTTTTCAATTTTACATTAAAAAAAAAACATGGTGTGTGTGTGTGTGTGTGTGTGTGTGTGTGTGTGTGTGTCTTTTGGTTTTTCAAGAGAAGGTTTCTCTGTGTAACAGCTTTGGCTATCCTGGAACTCACTTTGTAGAACAGGCTGGCCTCGAACTCAGAGAAATCCGCCTGTCTCAACCTCCTGAATGCTGGGATAATGGTGGGCACCACCACACTCGGATCTACAAATTTATTTTTTATTTTATGGCTAAGGTGTTTTTCTTGCATGTATGCTTGTACAATCCATGTATCTAGTGCCTACAGAGGCCAGAAAAAGGGCATGGGGTCCCCTGGAACTGCTGTTATGGACAGTTGTGAGCTTCCATGTGTGTGCTAGGTCCGCTAGAAGAGCAGCCAGTACTCAACCACAAGTCCTCTCTCCAGCCCTCGTGTGTGTGTGTGTGTGTGTGTGTGTGTGTGTGTGTGTGTGTGTGTGTGTGTGTGTGTTTTCTGAGACAAGTTATCATGTAACCCAGGCTGGGCTTCAATCTTGTTATATAGCTGGGGTTGGCCTTGAATACCTGCTCTACTTCCACAGTGTTGGGCTTACATGTGTACACCAGCTTGCCCAATTGTAGGATGTGCCTTCAAGCCTTGGGAATCCGGTGCCATGACAAGTATAGAGACAAGAAGAGACCCTTGGAGACAGTCTCCCTAGGGTCAGGGCCTTGTGTTCCCACCTGCAGCTGGTGACTCTGAGCCTCTCTGTAAAGTGGAAAAGTCACCTTGCCCTCCATTGCATTTAGGTGGCTGGAAGGGACGTGTGATGAGCAGTGTCTGATAGTCTGTAGTGGTCACTAAGGAGCTAGTGACCTTCTGCTATTGTGAGTCATTCCTTACTGATGCCACTATTCCAGAGACCAAGGGCTTCAAGAGACTCTCTTTGCTTGTTTCTGGGTCCTGAGAACCACTCAGAGCCTCAGCTCCATCTAGTGTTCACATGGGGACACAGCCACCTCTAAGACCTTACTGCAGACCTTATTTTCCTCAGCCTCATAGAAGCCCATAGTGATGTCCACTTGGAGCAATCCTCCAGTGCGAAGATCTGGGATTTCAAATCAAGTGTTGTACAAATCCAGTATTCTTAGGCATCAGTAAATACTGCCTTTAAAGAGACAGATTCATGTAACAAATAGTCATAATAACATTGACTTCCAGATGTGGTGGTACAGGACTTTAATTCCAGCTCTGAAGACTGAGGCAGAGGCAAATCTGTGAATTCTAAGCCAGACAGGGCTACACAGCAAGACTCTGTCTCAACAACAACAACAAAAATTGGCATTGCCGAGAGATTCCTAGGCACTGGAAACAATCCTAAGTTCTTGAATTGTGCATGCTCAATTATCACACGCCAGTGTCATGAAATGGTGGTGTTTGTTTCATTTTAGAGGTACAGAGAAGTGAAATAAAATCTGTCACTCTGAGGGCCAATGGCCCGTTAGGATGCCTGTGTCCCAGTGGCTGTCCCTACACCTGTGCAGGTAAGGACAGCACCTACTGGACTCTGTGGGCAATGAAAAGAGTAAGTGACATTAGGAGGGTGGGGTGGTGGTGGGGTCTGGGAGGAGGGAGGAGGTGAAAGGGGAATGGGTGTTATATAATGAATATACATTATATACATGTGTGAAATTCTCAAAGCATGCTGGGCGTTGGTGGTGCATGCCTTATAATCCCAGCACTCGGGAGGCAGAGCCAGAAGGATCTCTTGTGAGTTCCAGGCCAGCCTGGTCTCCAGAGCGAGTGCCAGGATAGGCTCCAAAGCTACACAGAGAAACCCTGTCTGGAAAAACCAAAAAGAAAAAGAAAAAAAAAAAAAAGAAATTCTCAAAGCATGAGCAAAAACTATGGCAAAAAAATTACCACTCTGCCGAGTGTAGGCAGAGGCTGCTGGGTGAGGCAGGGGATGAGAAGGAAGCCGGAAGAGGGGGTTCTGGGTGGTCCACTGGGGTTCAGGCTGCATTGAGGAGTGTGCAGAGAATGGTTTGTGCTGAAGCTTGAGCATGAGGGTGGCGGCTGTGACAGAGAAAGAGGGAACTCAGCAGCTGGGAGGTACTGACTAACATTGGGATGTAGAATAAAGTCAGCAGCCACAACCTAGTTCTTGAGGCCCCGGAACTCGAAGAGTAGGTGGGTCTGGAAGGCAGGTGAAGAAGAATGCTTTTTCACACAGAGATTTACAAGTCAAGCAGGAAGATGGAGTGGCGATGTGGATGAGCCCGAGCCAACAGGTAAGTGGGGATAGAGGGTGAGGGACACTAGCTTGGAGGAAGAGGATCAGGTAGCCTGGGGCAGTGGCCAGGGGCCATATGGGAGATGGTGGACGTGAGTGTGCTACAGGGAAAGCTTTACTGGAGCCAGAGAGGGTTTGAAGGGAAGGGGTGTGGCCCGGGGAGGGCTTCAGCGGCCCTGGGGAAGGGTCAGCAGGATAGGGACTAACATGGAGCAGGACCTGACAAGGCCAGCAGCAGTGTATGCAGGCAGAGGGCAGTCAGGCAGATATGAGGCAAAGGCTGTGTAGAGCTGTCTTCTGGGAAAGGAAGGAGACAGCCTGTGGTCTGAGGGGAAGCCAGGCTTGAAGAGGATGGAATAGGGAACAGAGGAGGGAAAGAGCTGGTGCTGATTGCTTGGGGTGGCTGGATGAGAGGGAAGGTACAACAAGGTCAAACGGAGGGCCCTAAAGAGAGCCGAAGACTGGGATAGTGGGCAGGGTGGGCTTGCTGTGTTTCTGAAGGTCAAAGGCCAGGTGTGGGGAGTCAGAGCAAAAGGAGCTTCCTGAGGGCATCCTGGAGGCTACTAACCCTGGGGACCAAGTCAGGAGAGAGGGAAAAGGAAGTGGCCAAGCATGGTGAGAAAAGGTTCATGGTGGGATCAGAGATGAGATGCAGGGCTCTGAAGGTGCTGCCTAGAGGCCAGATTTCTGAAGAAGGTCTTAGAAGTCACCCCTAAGACAAGTATCAGTGTAGCTGAGGGGGAGTGCCTCTGCAGGAGAGGAGGTTCATGATGAGGGCAGAAGGCACTAGGAGGAGGGGTCAAGGCTGGTCCAGGACAGAGCAGCAGAGTGTGTGTAGTGGGTGGGGCTTTCGGTGGAGGCAGGAAAAAGCAGAAGACAGCCACCCAGGGCCCCCTGCCCTGTCCTTGTTACCCAGGTTCAAAGGGGCTGTGCACCTCGCATATATAATGAGAATGTTCAACAGGTGGCTGGGGAAGGACCAGGCTGGACAATGTTCAGAAATCAGGGACGGCCAGCCAAGCAGGCAGAGACAGCCAGATAAGCTTCCCACCGAGCCAGCTCTCTCAAGGTCAAAGAGAAACACAGAGAGCAGATACAACCATATTGTGCTGCTTTTAATTACGAAAGATGTAAAATGATGCATTATAAAACTTGGAAGCTACTTTATACAAAGTCCAATCTTTCAATATTGCTTAACAAAGGACCGGGAGTTAGGGCATGGCAGGAAGTCTGATTAGTTACTGGGATGGCCCCATCCTGGAGCAGTGGAAATGCTGGGAACCATCATTTATGCTGTGCATAAACCAGAAGAGCCCCGGAGAGTCCCAACAGGACATGTCTTCAGACACGCGTGAGCATGAATACACCACTTTTCAGCTCAGAGACTACAGTAGACTTAGAAGAAGGAAGAAGGCAAAGGAGAACTGATCTTTGACATGATCAGACCATCTCCTCACACTCATATCCTAAAACCCACAACCGCTACACTGCTAGAAAGATGAGTACAGCTGGTGTGACCAAGTTAAAACACAGAACAGCAGGCTTGGGGACGCCTGTAGCCACTTCAGTGCTGAGGCCTGAGGCAAGTTTGTCACAAAGGCAGCAGCAAGTGCAGGCTTACATGGCCGGGGTGGGGCGACACTGTCTCCCAGTGTCCTCAATACCATCTAGACAAGGTGGGATCTCCAGTGGCTTAAAGCTCCTCCCATGGAAACATCAGGCTGGTGGGCCTAACAGCAGATTTAACTCAGTGCTATCTTGTATTGTTTTGCTTTTTTGTTGTTTAATCTATTTCCCCCATAGCCAGTACTTCCCCATCAGCTGGAGAATATCCCAGGAGCAGGGCAATTCATGGTATGAGGTTCTGGGGTCTCCTGTAACAAGGCAGGGTTCCCCTGATGAAATGAACCCACGAATAAGGCACAATGCAGAGAGCAGATTGTGCTGCCCCCCCCCTTTGCTCTAAACTCTTAAAACAGCACCGATCCCTGCCTGAAGGCTCTGATCTGATTTCAGGGGCCTGTGACAGAGGAGCTGGCTTCTGTAGGCATGGTGGGGAGCTGGGACCATGAGGAGTGAAATGCTTTCCCTTTAGCTAAAGTCACTCTGCTCTGTGATCTCAGGCATAAAGCATATGAGAGTCCGTCCCACTGGGAACAGGGATCACAAGCAGAGGCCAGTAGCATCTTCTAGGGGTGGAATCTGGTAGAGAGGATTCTAATTTGGTTTCCCAATTCAACAGCAGTGATCGAGGTAAACAGGAACACAAAATTCTTGGGTCCTAGAGGAAGGCGGAGAACGGCACCATCAGGGCTGTTTGAAGGATCATAAAAAAGGCCTAAGAAGAGAAGATGCGGACAAGCTGTGGAGAGGTGCAGGAGCAGCTTCCTGTCCACAGGCAGAGAGGTGTCAGCTTCCTTCAACTTCATCCTTGCTTGTTGGGTGGAAACAGTCACTGCGCCTCAGCTGCACCCCTATGTCTCCAGGAAGGGTAGCTGTGGTCCAAGCAAAGATTCTCCTTTAGCCCCCGGCCCCTCCTCCATCTCTCTCATGCCTGGCTCCTCCCCTGTGTGCTATGTGGGCATTACCACTTTTCCCACTCAGGGCTAGGGGGCAGTGGTGGTAGAATCTGGTCAAATTATTGTGTGATAAGGTGTTAGTGAATAACAAGAGTCCCATTAATCAGGCCTCCTTTACCATAAACTCATTTCTTAACCTCAAAGTATGCACCTCTATTTTAGGCAATTTAGAACAAAACATGGATCTGAGTAGGAAGATTTTGCTGTGGGGGCCCAGTGAAGACCCCAGGGGCCCTGCACTTAGGGGCTTTGGTGTGCTCAGACATTCTGGATGATTCCCACCCAGCTGCTGAGGGACATAATCCAAGGAGGATGTCACTAGGATGAGCTTAGTGACAGATCTGGTCATCTAGTGTGTTAAGGCACATTCAAGTGAGTGTGAATTAAAGGCACCAGTATGTGAAGGTTAAGCTCTGAGCTTAGGCAGGGAATAGACATAGCTACAGGTCAGACTGTCCCACCACATGGCATATTCATTCACTCACCCATGACTGGGTGCTACACCCAGTCACACAGCACTCATTCTTACCAGGCACTTGGTAGGCACTAAGGGCTCAAGAAGGGACAAGGCACAGCTCCTGCCCTCTTGAAGCTTACAGTCTAGTGGGATCGCATTAAACAGAGAAAGCTGGGAGGAAGAGGGCAGTTCAGCTGCTATGCATTGACAGGAGTCCCAGCAGCTCTGCCCCCGTGGGGCTGTTGGGTGGCCGGCCTAAGATGGAGGACGTCTTGTGCAGGTGCCATACCTGCAGCCTCCTAGAGGGAGCACTTCTCACTTTACACTCATCCTATTCCCAGGGAACTTTTCTTCAGTGAGAAAATGAGTCTCCCTCGCTCTTGTCCGTGAGAAAAAGGTCCGTGTACAGGAAAGCAGCAGCAAAGGTCACAGACTGGGAGAAAGCAAACTGAGCTCAGCTTGCCTAAGGACAGCCGCCCTGGGACAGGTGGGGGCTGCTTCACTTCATTACCCCATCTGGCAGAGCAATGGCGAGGCCCAGACTATCCACCAGCTGGGGAGGGGGGCAGTGCCTGGCCTTGCTGGTCAGACACAAAGGCATCACGGTGCTCTGGTACCGTCATTGTGTGACGCTGAACCAACTCCGTGGCTCCTGACTGACTCCTGACTGACTCCCACACTGGGTTGCATCTTCAGTGCTGGCTGGGATCTGTGGTTCAGAGACTGAGGACATTCCAGAGGCTACCTGTTATACAGCACTCTCTACGTTTACACACTGACTAGATGGACAATAGAAAGAATGAAGGTGACACGGTGAACTTCGCAGTCATCAGAAGCTCCAAAGCAGCTGGCTTGCGGCAGTACAATTGGTGTCACAGGCTGGAGAGGCAGGATGCAGCTGTGTCTAGAAAGCCACAACATCTGAGCTAGGACTTGAGGAGAGCCTGGGATAGCACGGCTCCCTCCATTCTAGCCTCTGCTCTGGCCCTTTCAGGCCCCCTGCTCCACTGTACTGTGCTCATAGCCGGTCAGCTCGAAATGTCTCCTCCACAGAGGGGTCCAGCAGGCCCATGCTGGAGTCACTTAACATGTTGAGTCCATCCAGGCTCAAGGGTTCAATCTGCAGCTCCTCTTCCAATGGAAACGGAGTGTCCATGTCCAGGCCAACCTCGGGCATGCCCGACAGCCCCCCACTAAGGCCTTTGAACAGACTGGTGCTTGGATCTTCTGAAAGGGGCAGAGAAGAGATTTAGGGACAGGAGGACTGAGGCTTCTAAAGAGTGACAGTCCCCAGCATTCTATCCTGTTATCTTCCCAGACAGGCCAGTGAGCACCCACATAACCGAACACTCCCAGGCCCACAGCTCTTGGCCTTGGAGTTAGCTTTTGTTTTTTTAGATAGGGTCTCATTCTGTATGTAGCCCAAGGTTGGCCTCAGACTCAAGGGAACCCTCCTGTCTCAGCTTCCCAAGGGCTTGAATTATAGCTGTGCACTGCCATGTCCAAATAAATCTTTGAATTTCTATAGTTTTCCCCCTTTTGAATGGTTTTCAGTCACCCGAGACTATTTCAGAAATGTGTTGACCAGTAGACCCTTTCCTCATTGCTGGCCTCCGTCTCTATGGCTGAACACCTGCATCTTCAAGTCAGAGTCTAGGGGTCTGTTTCATTTACAGAATGTGATATGATCTAAACTATCTTTAGAGGTAAACACTTATGAAATGAGATCAACAACAGAGCTGAGGGGTGGCCCACACTCACCTGTCAGGATGGTATTTGGGAAGTTCCCACAGTTGGAATACGGGTTTGGTCTCAAGTGAAATGAGTCCTGTGGCTCTCGGTGACTCTGCTGCACCAAAGGCACCTGAAAGCATCAAAATCAACTCATGCAGCGTGTCCCCAGACTGTCCCACAGTTCCTTCTGCCTAGGATCCCGGAGGGTTTTGCTGTATGATAACAGAACACTCCCTGGGCATCAGGAGGGGTCTGTGAGGACCAGTGTGGGTGGCTTTTCTCTGCCCATACACTGCCTGTTACATGATCCCAAGAGACACCAGAGGCCACAATTTCAGACTCTCTCTGAGTCTCAGATAGCCCTGCTCCTCAGACTCATCAAGACATGTGGGAGCCCATCAGAGTTCCCTCTGTGCTCTCTGGCTTCCAGGGAAGTGAGAGTGAAAATCTTCCCTTCACACCTGGCCAGCACCTCTCTAGAACAAAGCCTTTAAGGCCTAACTAGGAATTGGGACTGATTTAGGAATTTTTGCTGAAATTAATTTTTTAGATCATTAAAAAAAAATGTCTCAAAAGAAAGACCTCCAGCACTTCTGAGGGAAGTGCAGGTCCACATCTAGCCTGAGGGGTTCTTTATAAAACTATGAGGTAGATGCAACTTGGTGCCAGAGTGCTTGCCTGGTATGTGTGAGACCCTGGGTCTGATGCCAAGCACCACAAAATACAAAACAATAACAGCAACAACAAACATGCCATAGAGGTGAGGACTACTCACTCTTGTCACAAGGCATCTCTACTGGCTACTTGGCTATCGCTATCTTTATTTGTGTTACTACTGTTAAGTTCTGAAGTTGGGTCAACCCTCCCTTCATTTTTTACTCCATCCTGGAGGCTGACCAGACCTTACTAAACCTATTAAAGACACAAAAGCAAACAGGAGTGGCTGGATGGAAATGCCCTGTAGAAGGAGCGTCCCCCATTCCAGGCCTGGGCTAAGCTCTCCTAGAAGGCCATGCACTAAGCTGGGTGTGGCACTAGGCTTGCAGGCTCAGATATACACTATTTTCTAACTCTGCCACTGTAGCCAGGTGCTGTGCCTCCTTGTCCTTCAGATTCCCCAACACAGGGGATTGACTAGTTAGTTAACCGCTATGGCCCCTTTTGGGTAGATGTGCACATGTGTACCAGTGTTCATTAGTTAGCTGCTATGGTCCCTGTGTGTGTGTGTGTGTGTGTGTGTGTGTGTGTGTGTGTGTATGCATGTACACGTGTATTCTGTGTGTATCTGGAGGCCAGAAGACACCTTGGGTGCTATTGCACAGATGCCATCCACCTTTTGAATTTAAGATGGGGTCTCTCCTTGGCCAGCTAAACTTGGCTAGCTGGCCAGAAAGCCCTAGGGATAGTCCTTGCCTTGCCAGTGATGGGATTATGAGTGTGCCCAATTGCACCTAGGATTTCTTTCTTTTTCTTTCTTTCTTTCTTTCTTTCTTTCTTTCTTTCTTTCTCTTTCTTTTTTAAAGATTTTATTTATTTATTATGCATACATCATTATGCTTCCATGTATATCTGCACACCAGAAGAGGGCACCAGATCTCATAAAGGATGGTTGTGAGCCACCATGTGGTTGCTGGGAATTGAACTCAGGACCTCTGGAAGAGCAGTCGGTGCTCTTAACCTCTGAGCCATCTCTCCAGCCCCGGATTTCTTTCTTTTATCTTTTGTTTTTAAAAGATTTATTTTTATGTGTATAAGTGTTGGCCTACCTATATTTTGTACACCACATGCATGGCTGGTGTCCAAGGAGGCCAGAAGAGGGCATTAGATGCCCTGAAACTGGAGTGATGGATGGTTGTACTGTTATGTGGGTGCTGGGAACCAAACCTGGGTCTTCTAAAAGGGCAACAAGTGCTCTTATCTGTTCAGCCATTTCTCCAGCCCCTGATTCGTCTTTTTGAAAAGGGGGGGGGGGTCTCATTATGTAGTGCTGGTTGGTCTAGAACTTCTAAATACACAAAGTTGATCACAAACCCACAGAAATCTGCCTCCCTCTACATCCCAAATGCTGGGATTAATGGTGTGCACCACTATACCTGGCATCTACTTCTTTTTTAAATGTAGGTTTCAGGGATGGAACTCAAATCCTTGTGTTTTATTTACTAAATTATCTTCCCAACTCTATGACTAGAGTGTTATCAAATGCACTATTGTTCCAACAGTTTCTCTGCTGAGACCTGACCCTACACAAGGTATGTAAGGCATAAGGCAGCCGCACCGGTACTGATAGGGAAGACACAAAGCTCTCCTGGTCATGGAACACGACTGAAACAGAAGGAAGGCCTCATCTCTTAGGCTGAAGAGTCTACACACAGAACAATCTTGGTGGTGCATTTTATACCTCAGGAAAGGTGGGGCAGGAGTGGTCACTTACCTGTTGAGGAAAGGCAGGGCTGGGCCTCATGGGCTGTTGGTCAAAGCCCACATCTGGGAAGAAGTTGGTCAGAGACGAGCCCTTTGGGAAACAGGGCGTAACTATTATAGTTGGAATGCAGAGTGAAATAAGCATCCCCACCTCACCATGTCCCACAGGGACTTACCTGGGCAGTGAGGAGCTGGAAGTCTGACTGTGGCAGGGAGGGGGCTGCCTGGGGTGGATGAGCAGGGGCCTCTTGGGCATGGGACTGCTGCAGGAGTGGCTGGGGCAGCTCCTGGGGTGTGGAGTAAGGGGGTGGTGGGGACACTTGGGCTTGAGCTTCTGTGGGTAGGAAGGAAAGTGGGCTTTGCTCTGAGGATACCACCTGTGAAATAAATCAAGTGACTCATTAGCTTCTAAGTGACAAGATCCTCAGGGTTAGGAAAGTAAAGGTGAGAGGAGAGCCTGAGCTTCTCCCCACCATACCGAGATGCCCTGCCCCTGCCCCTCCATCTCTCTGCCCCTGCCCCTCCATCTCTCTGCCTCTGCCCCTCCATCTCTCTGCCCCTGCCCCTCCACCTCCCTGCTCCTGCCCCTCTCTCTCCCTGCTTCTGTTCCTCCTCTAAAGCTCATCTCAGTTTCACACCCTTGAAAGCATTTCCTATCAGTGACATTTCTATTGTTTAAACAAACAAGAATATAGCCAATTTCCCATTTTCTCAGTGAAAGTAATGTATCCTTTGTTGTTAAAGCCACAGTTCTCGGTTGCGCCTAAACCGTCCTAAACTCTACTAAAGCAAGACACTGACACAACAGTAACAACAGTGAACACCAACAGACAACACCACAGCCACAAGCAACACTGATGGGAGAGACACAACCTCAGAACCGAGAAGGCCACGTGTTGTCATCAAGGAAAACCAAGAGCTAATCTGATTCATGTGACCCATCTCTAAAGAGCTCCAGGCTTGGGGACAGCAGGGAGCAGGGGTTGATGCTAATCTAAGAGCATTGGCCAGAGTTTCTGCCCTCCCTGATGCTGGCTGTGGAGTGGAGGCTGGCTCTGGAGAGTAAAGGTAAGGTCTCTGCATGCCACAAGATGAGCTATCTACCTCCAACTTGGCCCCAGAGACTGCTCTCCAGACACAAGTCCACATAGCAAACAGTATAGTACTGCTCAGGGCTTTGAACCAGCCCAGACTTCTCTAAATAGAAGTACTAGACAGAAGCTCCCCACAGAAATGAGAGAGATAGTTCCATCATGAGGTATGCCTCAGTAAGCCCCTACTCTCAGAGCTGCCTGTCAGCAATTCAGTGTCTTGTTTTTAAATGTGAGGGGAGAACCAAGGACTGCCAGACGGCCTCATGTCCAGGTGGGCAGGGTACCCGGCATGCCCATCAGAGCCCAAAGAGACACAGACCATAAACATAGGAAGGAAGAGACAAGGAAATAAGTTTACTTGTCTATTGTAACACTTAGGCTTATCTTAGAGGCCTGCTGTGTAGCACACAGCACTTGGGAGGCAGAGGCAGGCAGATTTCTGAGACCAGCCTGGTCTACAGACAGAGTTCTTAGATAGCCAGGGCTATATAGAGAAACCCTGTATCAAATAAAAACAAAACAAAAAACCCCCAAATAAATAACTAAGCAAATAAAAACAAGGAAAGATGAATGAATGAGAGGAGAGAGAAGAAATACAGGCATCAGAGGAAAATTTCATGATGTTCAACATTTGTAAAACAGGAATTCCAGAGGGAATGGAGAAAGTCAAGGGAAATGTCATTGAAGAAATAATTAAAATCCCCAGAAATGATGGACACAAGTTTCTAGACACAAGAAACTCAGCAAACCTCCATACTTATACCAAGACACACTATCCCAAAGTTTCACAATACTGGAGACAGGAAGGACCATTCTAGACTCTTCCAGAGGAGTGAAGGAGATGCCATTCCAAGTCTTAGGTGTACGACTGGAGTAGGTCAATCAATACCTCTAAAGTCCCAGATGGACACATCCCAACTTAAGAGTTCTCTATCTAGCCAACTATTAACTAAATGGAAGGCAGAATAGATTTTTCCAGTACCAGAGTTTGGGACTGAAATAGCAACACAAAGCTAGAAAGCCAGATCAACAACAGAAAGCAGGACATTAACATCTGGGAGCAAAACAAATGCTCACTTTGTTATTTCATCGTGTACTATGGGGGCCAAGTCTAACCACAGCACTGAAGCTATAGAAACACAAACACTACATATTGTTCTAACTGAAATTAAAATAAGTGAGCAGACTGAGTAAGGTGTGTGTGAAGGGCTGTGGGAGTGTTGAAAGAAAGCAATATTGGATGGCAGGGTGTCATTAGATAATGCTTAACAGCAAAAAGCTACAACAAAAGAAGCATGAAGTAACATGTTTATACCAAAGAGATTAGCTAAGATGGTTGGAAAAGCCAACTCCAGGCAGTGAAAACTGTGGTTAATGGATTAGGGGAGACAGGCCTTTTAGAACTATTTGCCTTTTGGAACTACATGCATGACTTTTTAAAGCTTAAACATTAAACAAATAATAATAATAAAAATATCAGAGCTGGGTGGTGGTGGTGCACGCCTTTGATCCCAGCACTTGAGAGGCAGAGGCATGTGGATTTCAGTGGTCTACAAAGCAAGTTCCAGGACAACCTGGGCTACACAGAGAAATTCTGTCTCAAAAACCAAAACCAAAACAAAACAAAAAATAAAATAAAATTAGAGAGTCAATGTTCTTTGCCCTTAAAATGTAGTTAGAAAGCAAGAACACTTTTATAGCTCATAAAATAATCTCACAAAGGAAAACTAAACAGAATTCAGTAACATTTGGGGGGTGGGTTCAAGACAGAGTTTCTCTGTATAACAGTTCTGGCTGTCCTGGAAATCACTTTGTAGACCCGGCTGGGCCT